ATCTGAAACTAAATTACTTGTGTGTGTGTGTGTGTGTGTGTGATGCGCTACACAAATAATCTTGACGTTCGTTACCAAGTCTAACAAACACAAACTGCGTTGAATAGAATTTGACGTGCAAGTAAAAATGCATCTAGCGTTGTTTAAGGATGCGGAGAACTGAAAAAAAATGTTTATAATTCTCTATCAAAATGGTTTAGACATGAGTGGAGATTTTTCAAATAAACAAGATATTCCATGTCCAGGAATGCGTTTTTTGTCTTATTTATGAGAAGTGGCATCCTTTTTTTGTGACTTTCATTGGTTCCCATGCGTTGTAATTTGTAAGGAGAAACTGATCGACAGTTTGTGTGTTTCATAAAGTTGATCTAATCCCACATGTACCGGATCTAACGCAAATATCATGTTCGTTTGGCTGTTGTTGTGTTCATCTCGACACCCTCCTAAAGCATCCATGTTAAGGTGTTAATATCAGCATCCAGGCTAACAGCTTATGAATGCTAACCAAACGCTCGGTGTGAAAGCGCTCCAGATCTCTGCAGCCCGTGCTCACGGATTAGCACTTCAAAAAGGGCAAAGCGGCCTCAAACTCTGACACGCCGTCAATAAACATTCTTTAATGTCGTGCCTCTGGCTGTTGCTGTTGACTCCGCAGATAACCTCAGCATCATTCAACGCAGCTTATTTCTGCCGAATGTGACATCCGCCACCTTCTAATCCCATTATATCATTATGATATGTCAGAAACCTAATATACTCGCATGATGACACATACTGGATGTGTACAGGTTTCCTGTGCCAGCAAGAATTAATGTCACTTTGCATGAGTTATGTGTGGCTAATTGCATAATGATTCTTCAACGGCTCTGGGATACATACATATCATCATCAGAATATTTTTACCTTGTTTTCTAGTAAAATATCTAAGAATAGAGAGTTCTGCAGCTCAGAGAATGTCATGAAATGCAAGCAGAACAAATTTTATGTGCAAATGGATCATAAAAACACTTATATACTTATATATTTATTTATTTTGTGTTTTTTTATATATATATTGTGTGTTCAGATGTATTTTTATTTCAATACAAATGTATTGAAATAAAAAAATACTGGATTATTTCAACCCATGGTTGGGTCAAATATCAACAAACCCAATCGTTGGGTTTAAAAATGCAATTAAAAAAATGTAAACCAACGCTTGCTCCATATTTGACCCAACCATGGGTTGAAACAAACCAGTATTTTTTAGAGTGCAATACGTACTTTGCACTCATTTATTGTTGTTGAAGTAAGTATACAAGTGCAAATTTGGATAGACCTAAATGTTGGGTTAAAAATGTAATTAAAAATTTTAACCCAACTTGAATTTTCACTTTCAACTGTACATTTTTTCATTGCATTTTTAACCCACATTTGGGTTTGTCCATATTTGACCCAAATTTTGGTTGAAACAACCCAGCATTTTTAGAGTGTGTGTTCACGTATTTGAGAGGGATGTGGGAACAAAAAGGACAGATCATCAAAACAAAATACAACAAAATATTCTGGGGGCGAATGTTTTTGTTTTCGACAAAAAAAAAAAAAAAAGCGTATCCACAAGTTTTGTGAATGTTTTAATTTATTTTGTGTCTTTTTAAAACATATTGCATGTTCAGATAATCCTATAACAAAATATTCTGGCGGGCGAATGTTTTTGTTTTCTAAATAAATAAATAAATGCTGCCGGGGAAAGAGTTAAAATGGCCGACAAACAGTCGCAGATATCTGCCATCAGATCTCCTCCTGTCGTCAGGACCCTGCACTGATAAGCATCAATCTGTTTGCTTTCTGGAGTGCGTTGCACTTCATTAATAAAATCAATCTGCACACGTCTGAAGCTCTGGGCTCTGATCTGATGATGTACTAGAAGGCGAGATTTTATCGACAATTCTGTAATGTCTCGGCATGGGCTAATTCTCTGGCACAAAAGGCTATATGACTAGAGATAATGGAGATAGATAAATAATAGAATACACCTTTGGGTGAATGAAGCCCATTCTTTGACATAGAATGAACACGCAGAAGTGTATTAAACTCAAGATAGGGATCTTTTAAAATGAATATGTTCGTCTTTGATAGAGTTCGCTAGGTATGTGGATCTTCTCCGGGAAAAACCTAGTGTGCTAGTGTGGTCTTGCAAGGCGAAATTATTGCATTTATCGCATTATGTTAAACATAAGATGGATAATTAGAATTAGGTGGTCGTTGAAATTGATAACCATGTTCTGTTTTATGGTCTATCTGGGAAAATATTAAACAGTCTAATTGCTTATTAAAAAAACGGCTGTCTTTTAAAACAGCCACATGATTTGAAGAAGTCTGCGAAACACTATTATTCAAGCAATGTCACACAAGAAAGAGTGTTTATTATATACAGGAGTTCAATAAACACGTTAAAATTTAGTTTTGACAGAATATCGCCAATTAGTTTGCTACACCCGTTTCCTTCCTGAGTGATTCAGCATTTTTGAACAAATCGATCGAATTAATGATTCAATGACTCAATAAGGACAGACAGTTTCGTAATCAGTAGAGTGAATGCTTCAGTCAGTCATTGTCGCTGTGTTCGAATATAGTATGCAAAAAATGGTTTTTGAGCCAAGTAGTATTTCCGAATTCATACACTATAAACAATGCTGGGTTGTTTGAACCCAAATTTGGATAAAATACGGACAAACCCAAATGTTGGGTTAAAAATGTAATTTCAAATTAACCCAACTTCAACTTTCACTTTCAACTGTACATTTCTTAATTGCACATTTTTAACCCAACATTTGGGTTTGTCCATATTTTACCCAAATTTGGGTTCAAACAACCCAGCATTTTTTAGTGTAGTATTCATAAAACAGTATAGGCGAAAAGTACCTGGATGGTCTATTTCTGAAGTGCGCATTAGATACTTTACTATCCCATGAGGCCATAGGAGATGATTTGTGAATAGAGGTTTAGGAACCCAACTTACGCTGTAGGTCACATGACAATGACAACATGGCGGATGTAATATGTCCAAATTTCATTCATACTACACTAGTGATGTATGTCTCGAGACCACTTGTCGCGGTCTTTGGTCTTGGACCTCTCGGTCTTGTCTAGGTCACGCTGTCTCTGACCGACATTGTGGTCGGGGATTTAGCAATACAATACTACAATATCCACAACGGATTGAAGCATGCGTCCAAGTGAAGACGGTGCGGTGTGCGCGAGCCACACAAGAAAACACCGTATCCGCACCACTGAACGCAGCAGCAATGAGCACTTTGATCACTTGATTTAAAAAAAGACATATCATGTAGTGAAACTCATATCAGTGATGGGTTTTAACTTCATTCAGTAGATTTTGGGTAACTTGAGCGCACCGCCAACGGTGTGTGTAACCATAGCGACAAAACAACCAACTTTCGGATCCTGCACCTAAGCCTATAATTTTGTTTTAAAAATAAAAATATAATTAAAATATAATTAAAAATATAATTATAAATGTAATTAAAAATATAATTTATATATAAAAATATAATTATTTATTTAAAAGTTGCAGAATGGATTCATTTGGAGACTTCAAAATTGGCAGAGATAGGCAGGCAACACAAAATCTTACAAGTTGTTGCTTAGCTTTAACGCTATTCTGTTTTTTGTTTTTGTTTTTTCACTCCGGTCTCGACTTGGTCCAAGACAATTTTTCTCCATGCAAATTGTAAGACCAACTTGGTCTTGTCTTGGTCTCAGTAACCTCTTGGTCTCGGTTTAGGCGGTCTTGACTACAAGTCTAAACTATGCACATTCATTCTATATAAAACATACTTTGTTAACGGTTGCGAACTAAGTTTCGAACGAAATGTAGAACCTTCTTTACCATATATGATTTCGGACACAGTGTCTGTTTTGTTCCTGAGTGAATCAGTGTTTTGAACGAATCTGTTGAGTGAATCAATGACATACTAATAAAGACAGACATTTTTGAACAAATCGTTGAAACAAACGAATCACTAAATCACTGTCGCCACCTACTGGTTTGCACTAGTAATGCACTAGTGATGTATGTCTCGAAACCAATCTTGGTCTTGTCATGGCCTTGATGGTTTTGGTCTTGGACCTCTAGGTCTTGTCTAGGTCTCACTGTCTCAGACCAACATTGTGGTCGGGCGATTGGTAACCTTGCATCCACCATATTTTGCAATTTGGGCGTAAGCTATTTTCTTTGAATGTGCGAGACGATTCATTAGCTGGTGAAGAAAAGTACAGCAAATTGTAAAACTATTTTCGTGTTTATGATTACAGCAATAACAGCTTATAGACTTTTAAAATAACTTGAAGTGAATGACTCTGGAAACCTTGCACATTGACATGACAAAAAAAAAGATGAACAATTAGAGTTAGGTTGTTGAAATTGATAACCTTAGTTTATGAGTAACAGTAATTGCCTTAACAAGCACTTGCTGGCTTCTAAATAGTATACATGTTGTGCATTTCTAGAGAGTTGAAGAGCAGCAACCATTTAGTAAGGCATGTTATGAGTGAAACAGACAACCAGTGACACGTCTCACAATGGCCTGGACATTTATAAGCAATTTCCACAGATAAATCTTGGCATAATGCCTGAAAATATGTCCAATTTATAAACCTCTCACTATGAGAAGTCTTCCAGGTTAAGAAGAGATTCCCGTTCTGCCAGTTTAAAAACAAATCCGTCCTTCTGGTTGGTACAGAAAATACCAGCACAGCTTAGTGGAGGATTAGACTTGCACCTGGTCCCCAATGAATTATCTAGCAGTGTTGAAACTGAAAAAGTGAAGCCAGAATGAGATTTCCATGCAAATCGTTGGCCTCATCCCCCCCCCCCCCCCCCCTTTATAATAATCCCAAACCAATCTATCACACAGTTCAAAATGTGCCTAAATCATCATTCCCCTGTTGTGTTTGCGGTGTTGCATTACGCTAAACTGATTCTCTGTGCGTGATTGCAGGTGATCGACATTAAGGACAAGCTAAGGGAGTCGAAGAGATTCTGGTCGTCGCTGCCAGACAGCATCTGTGCCGAGGACACGGTGACTGACCCAGATGAGGAGCAGTGCTGGAACAGCCACACAAAGGGAAGGTAGGACGGTCACCTTCACACACACCTTCCCCTGGGTCGCGTCGCAGATTGTTGTGTTTCAATGACACCTTCCATGGTAATTGTCTTAGCGATATTAGGTCATAGGCAAATACACAACACTCTGTTGGCTTAAAGGAGTAGTTCACTTTTCAGAAAACTTTTGCTGATAATTTACTCACCCCCATGTCATCCAAGATGTCCGTGCCTTTCTTTCTTCAGTCGAAAAGAAATTAAGGTTTTTGATGAAAACATTCCAGGATTTTTTTTCCATATAATGGACTTCAATGGGAACCAAACGGTTCAAGGTCCAAAAGACAGTTTCAGTGCAAACTGTTCAAAGGGCTTTAAACGATTCCAGACGATGAATAAGGGTCTTATCAAGCGAAACGATCGCTCATTTAATAGATAAATAACAAAGTTTAAGTTTTATAAGCTCAAATGCTCGCCTTGCTCTGTTCTGCGATGCACGTTTATCAAAATGAACGAATCTTTTCCCGAGTCAATTCATCGTTTCGTTCATTGAACGAACCAAATGATTTTATCCACAAATGTTTTAATGCTAAATGCACATAGGTTATATTCAAACACTCTTAGAAGAAAAGGTTCTATATAGAACCTTAAACGATTCTATCAGCGCTACGTATTTGGAACCCCTAGAAGGTTCTATACAGGAGCCTTTTTACGGGTTCAATAATAAGAACCCTTTAGGGTTCTTTGTAACCAAGAAAAAGGTTCTATATGGAACATTTTGGGTTCATTCATTATCATTTGTTTTGTCCTTTCCGGATTAAATATTTCATATTATTGACAAACATCAAGACCCTAAAATGTATTTATGAATGCATGTGAATGATCACAAAATTCAAGATATGTGGGTCAGAAAATCGTTAGCTTAGAATTATATAAGGTTCTATCTCCACTTTTGGTCGAAATTGAGTTTTTGACATAATCTGATCCATTAGGTGTTTATTAATGCATGTGTGGTGTTATTTTTGTAAAAAAAAAAAAAAAAAAAAAAAAGATTAATAGATAAAGCTACAATAGAAGATTATACTACATAACAGTTTTGCCAGCTGGGATGTAAAAACTTTGATGCTCAATATCTCAGAACTACCCTAAATGGAGATAGAACCTTATAATTCTAAGCTCAAGAAATGTCTATATTTATATCATTTTATGTAGTTAATCAATATCACACGAAGAGTGCCATTTCAGTTTTTCTCCTCCAACAATCTTTTAATGCAGTTTAATAAGCAATAATTTAATTACAACTACAAAATGTTGCAGAATAATGTAATATATGAATGAATAACAGCCTATAAAGAGCCTATAAAAAGGGTTCTTTCTTGTCATTATAGAACCTTTTTTTTTAGGATAAAAGGTTCTTTGGAGTTGAGTAAAGAACCCTATGCTTCATATATAGGAGTGCAGGTTCTTCCTTGCCTTGACTTGTTTGGGACAAGTATACATTCATTAGTGTGATGAATTATTTCCTTTAGAAATAAAAACACAGTGAGAATGCTCAAAGATGTGTACAGTGTGAAATCGGCCTTAAAGACATAATCATTTATGATTGACAGACCTCTGGTTTTACCTTCAGTTGATGGGCATTTCATACAGAACACCATGATGTCTGTCACTCCGTCTGCACGCCTTTGAGAACGAGCCAGACGGCTTGGCAGAAACCCATCCGTTTTTCAGCCCTCCACAAGTGAGGATATCAGCAGATGGTGCAATATAAGATGTGTTTCATTTTCTTTCCAAGCGGCCTCATCATGTAAATGACCCGTACTGGGTGAAGAGGGTTTTTTAGAGTACCTAAAAGACAAATTAACGCAAATGATAAGACTTGGTGGAGCTGAAATGCATGTGATGTGTGTGTATGTATATATATATATATTTATTTTATTTTTGTTTCCAATATTTGTCAGATCTGGTCTCCGTGGAGTACAGTCCTCTCATTATTGGCTAATTACCGCTTTAAAGCCACGGTTTGCATTTGAATAGGAGCACATTTGCGATGGCACAACCTGGGAGCATTCAACAAGTTTCGTTTATTTTTTGCACAAAAGCTCCACCTGAAATATTAATTAGGCACAAACAATTACCTCTCGCTAAAGCGCTTATTAGGAGATTAGATCTCAAAAGAGTTCAGTGCATGCATAATTCTGCAACATACTGACAAGCAGCGTTCAGATACAGACGCAGAAACTCAGAGAAGGCAAACATGATACAGTATACGCAATTAATTCAGTACGACTACAAACTTCATTATGTAGATCATTTCCTTCTTCTCCAGTTCTGCCTCAGGTGATAATTGTGACTGTGAATTTTGATTTGAACCCTATCACCGGGTTATTATTATTAAAACTGAAACTAAAATTTTAAATAAACTAAAATAATAAAAAAATAATAATAATTTAACTACATAAAGGGCCTACAAAAATTTTAATAAAAATAATAAAAGCTGACAAAACAAAACTGCTAAAACTTTAATTCAAATGATTATCTAAAATTAAAATAACAACGCATTACAGTTACCTTTAAGCAAAACATATATTTTAAATCAAAAGTTTATTTAGAAAAAAAAAATATTTTATTTTAAGCAAAATCTAGTCGCACAATGTTTGTTTTTTTGTTAAGCATTCAATGCATTTAAAATATGTAATATATTCAAAGTTTGAGAATATCTTATTGATATTTTTGAACCATTAATAATCAAATGCACATCATGGACAGTCTTCTTTCATTTACTGTACTGTGAAGTCTTTCTCACAAAACATAGTCTTTATCGTCTATTTTTACTTTATAATTAAAACAAATACATTAACTCATTGACGCAGCTGACAGCTAAACATTTTAAGAAAACATTCCCACCAAAAAAACCCTGCAAATGTTTGTTAATTTCCAGATATTTTCCTGAAGTCGTTAAAGACGGCCTTACGAACCAGCTCAATAACCCAGAGGTGGAAGTGGACATCACGAGACCCGACACCTTCATCAGACAGCAGATCATGACCCTGAGAGTGATGACCAACAAGCTACGAAACGCCTACAACGGCAAAGACGTCTACTTTCAAGACTCAAGTAAGTCAGTCAGTCGAGAACGTTAGTTTATGGATAAGTGGAGCGTCTGCAACTAATACAGACGCTCAATCGCTGATTGTTTCTGATGTTAAAAGTGGGTTCAACAAATTTATGAGGGATTACACAATACAAATATGTGAGTCAGCTTTACTTGGATTAATCAGCAACACAAAACACCCTAGCAAGCGCCAAGCAACGCCCTAGCAACCACTTAGAACACGTTAGCAACACATTGGCATTGTGCAGGTGTTTTGCACAAGCAATTACCACAAAAAAAAATGCAAAAATCTGGTTCTTTAAATAGTTTAATAAGTCACCAATGTATATGTTATGTTATTTAGGGCTGTGCAAAAGTTAATTGGGATTAATCACATCCAAAATAAAAGTCTGTTTTACATAATATATTTGAGTGTGCTGTATATAATTATTTTGTATATATAAATACCTATGCATGCATGTATATATTTAAGAATTATTTGCGCTTAAATTCTGTATATATATATATATATAAATACATAATCTATATTATATAAATATAAATATTTATATAGGAATAACACATTTTCTTAAACATATACATGCATGTGTGTGTATTTATATATACAAAATAATTATATACAGCACACACAAATATACTATGTAAACACAGACTTTTATTGTGGATGCGATTAATCTCAATTAACTTTTGCACAGCCCTAGTTATATTACAACCCATGAGTTTGCGTTTATTTTTTGGCACTATATTGTGATATACAAACTCAAAGGTGAAAAAGACACTAGTATTTAAGACATGCAGCATACATTCTGTTATTGACACTTATTTTGGTTTCGACCTACTTAAGATGTGACGATCTTAAAGGAATACATGCATAGATGAAAATAGATGCAATTGCACAGATAAAAATAGCCCAATACACATTTACACCCTTCTTAGATGCAAAAACTCCCCAGCATGTGTTATTCCCAGTAAGCAGGCCAGCCTTCCCTCACGCGGCGCCATAAATCATGCCACGCCGTCAGAAAGCGTCACGCGCAGTCTAGACCCTCTGTCAGCGTCAGGGAAATGAGATCCTCGTCGCTCGGGAGGGGAGGGACTGACACCAACAGGAAGCTGAATTATGATAATGGAGTGTCGGGTCACATAATGTATGACTCTATGACGGTCTGGGGATATGAACGTCCTCAGGTGCCGCTTGTGTTTGCAGGAGTTTCAGTTGATTTGGAGGAACTCTGAACCTAGACTATATATGAGAGCCAATTAATAATCATTCAAGAAATCAATTCAATAAATGCTAAAATAATAATAAAATCATAAAAAAATAATAAAAAGCAATAAAATATATTGTAAATATAATGTTAATTTTAGCAATTGATAATGTATGAATAAAAAAATAAAAAAATTAAATCCCTTTTTAAACGCATTTTAAGTATCATATATAATATTAATATAAAAATACAAAACAAATAATGTAATATATAATATGTATAGAAATGGAACTTTTGAAATATTTAAAAAATATAAATCATAAAAGAGATACAGATTTGACTCACTTTTGCAGCCAGCCTCATGCGGCCACTCGATGAATTGCAGTTTAATCACTTCCGTGTTGGCTTCAAGAGAGAGGCGGGGAGGTTGTCCCTTGGTCAATATGAGACGCAGATATATATGGGGCAGAAGGCGCCTCCTAGTGGTCTAACCCTAACCCTACCCCAGACCTAAACCTACCCATAACCGAAGCGTGTTATATGACGCTAAAGGGTCAAGTCAAGTCAAGTCACATTTATTTATATAGCGCTTTTCACAATACAGATTGTATCAAAGCAGCTTCACAGTGATAACATGAAAGTAGTACAACACAGATCAATAATATTGTTAAATATTAAATATCCCCAACTGAGCAAGCCAAAAGCAAGGCAACAGTGGCAAGGAACCAAAACTCCATCAGATTGGATGAAGAAAAAAAAAACCTTGGGAGAACCCAGGCTCAGTCGGGGGCCAGTTCTCCTCTGGCTAACAATCATATTGTTTATATATAAATATTAAAGGTATAGCGGAGGATCTTTCCGAATTTTAGATAAGACCCACCCTCTCCAATTTTTTTAAAAAATGCACACAAACACAACACTCTTGCTCCCGAGAGGGAACGCCTATTACGCCTTGCACAATTATGTTGCAAATTATAAACTAACTCAAAAACATTAATAAAAAAGACAACATGTCAAATGCCCTTCCGTGTTTTAATTACTTATTATACTGATCGATTGAGTGACCGAGGACTCAAGACATAATATGTGCAACCCTGTATCACACGAAATACGTTCTGAGGAAACTATTTTGCAAATCGCAATTACGTTACATGGCAACATATAAGCAGTGCTATTACGTTGGTCCTTAACCTAATATGTCTCATTGTTAATACGTAGGTATTAATACGTTATTTTTATACATAGTTGCATATGTAATGGAGAAGCAGCTTGTTGCATTTGTGTAATAATAAACACACAAGGTTTTAGCCATTTTCAAAGGAATGGCTGAAACCGTAACTCTGACTCCGCTATACCTTTAAATATAAATATTGTTTATTAGGGCTGGGTAATAAATAACGATTTCTCGATATTAATCGATTCTCTTTTTTACGAACCGATATCGATTCTCCGATATCGCTGATCTCTCTTCCGGCTTAATAATACCAGTCACAGCGCCAAATAAACATGAATGAGCATCTGAAAGTGTGTTAAAGATAGAGTACAACTTATCCAAATCCGTATCATGTCACATTGATTCGCTCAATCTGCGCTTCAACCGTGGAAAGACGTCAGTTAAACAGCTTGTTATCAATGTATCGTCATATTTACCTCAGAAAACCCACATAAACTCGTTAGTCAGCTAGAAAAAATAACTCTAGAGAGGAGCATTTTGCTAAATATATACACCATATTACGCATTATAATCTTAATGTTCTTCAATATTTAATGCATATTTGAATAAATCTGGCAAGTTTTTATGACAGCCACCATTTAAATGTTTATATTTCATAGTTTACTCCCAGCATTAGTTAAGAGATTTGATTTCCTTGAGAAAATTTGCCATTTATTGTAACTGATATCCAAAATAATCAATATTGAATCGAATCGGAATCGAAATCGAATCGTAAGCTTGTGAATCGAAATCGAATCGAATTGTGAAATTTGTGTCAATACCCAGCCCTATTGTTTATATATAAAAATGGTGCCATGTGCGTTGGATGTATACACATTGGCAAAAGCGTCACTATATGACGCCCTAGGATGAGAATGCGTTGGCATTTCGCCAGACATTTCCATTTACTCGTGTTTGTTTGCGTCAGGTGACGAGGAGAGCGGCTCGGGCAGCGGAAGTGGCTTCACGACAGAACCTGAAGTGATCCACACGGAGCCCCCGATGTTGGAAGCAGACAAAAGCGACCCGCAACCAACGGCAGGCGCAGCCCATCGGCACAAGCCTTCGCTGCAGTTACTAGCGTCTGTCCTGGCCCTCACAGCACTGGTCCTGTGCTGGAGATAATGGCAGGAGGAGGCACTCAGCCACACGCACTCTTAAGACACACAGCGCCGCTCACGCTGGTAGCCTTTCCGGAACCGGACTGGACCTTTTACAAAAAAATATCAAGAAAAAAGCCCAAGGAGAGCAAGCTAGCTTGTGAAAGGAAGAGCGAGCGCAAATCTTTGCATCCTGCTTTTTTTCCAAAGAATGCTTGATGCAATCAGAAGCAGCTTCTCTTTTGGCTCTCATTTCTAAAGTTTTTTTTCGGGATGAAAAGTGGGTGCCGTGCAAATGGGACCACTTTCCACAACGCTCTTTCGGAAAAGAATGGGAAAATTAAAATATATATATTTTTGTTTTCCTTTTATACAGCATAAAATGAGACAACACAATACGCTCTGGTGTTTTTTCGCCTCTCCCGAATTCACTGAATGACATCAAAACAAAAAACTAAAAAAAAAAAAAAAAACAGGCATTATAAAGAAAAAAAAGTAACAAAACAATTCTATATAAATCAACTTGTTTATGTACCACTGTGAGAATGCATGGGGAGGTCATGAGTAAATGTTTTTAACTGTGATTTTCACACAAATTTAATGCTTTGACTCTTTTTCTTTTGTTGAAGTGATTTTTTTTTTTTATGTTATTTGCTAGAGATTATTTTGTAAGATATTAGACAGTTTGAGGTGAGCGTTAAAAGAGTCTGGCCGAGTTTCCCCGAGGGCTGCTCCTGCGTAAATCAAAAGAAAGTATCCATATCTTAATATATAATAAAGGTTTAGTTATAAAATGTTTTCTTACAGAGAAAGATTTATTTATATTTCTAATATAATTATATATTTTGGCTTTACCAGTTAGCAACTTTTATTCAAAAGCTCATATCTAACAAAATAGCTCTTTTTTTTTGCCCTTTCCAATGCAAACATGTTCATTTATTTTACAAATATTTTCTTCAATGTCATTTCGATTCGGGAAAGTTTTGAATGGAAAAGTCTTGGGAAACACCGAAAGCCAGTGTTAAACGCGACTGAGTCATGTTCCTTACGCTCATTTATATACTTGTCATTTTAATCAATTATGTATGCACAACCCTCATTTACTTAACAGCTTTTTTTCTGTTTTTTTTTATGTAGCTCACCATATCAGCGTTTCACGTTTTATGCATAGACAATTACAAAATTATTTTTTGTGAATCAATGGGCCTCATTCATGAAACTAAAATGAATTGTGTGTGTAATTATTCCAAAATAAGTAAAAACGCCTAAAAATTTAAAGGTTAAATTTAAATTTAAATGTAAAAAAATGTAGGGCTTTCAAACGATTAATCGCATCCAAAATAAAAGTTTGTGTTTACATAATATATGTGGGTGCACTGTGTATAATTATTTTATATATATAAATACACACACATGCTTGTATATATTTAAGAAATATTTTCATATATATATGTATATATATACTGATTTATATATAATTAATATTATATGTAAATATAAATATTTTATATAGAAATGGTATATTTTTTCTTAAATATACATGCATGTGCATGTGTTTATATATATATATATATATATATATACAAAATAATTGTACACAGTGCACCCACATATATTATGTAAACACAAACTTTTATTTTGGATGTGATTAATTACGATTAATCGTGATTAATCGCATCCAAAATAAAAGTTTGTGTTTACATAATATATATGTATGTGTAGTGTGTATAATTATTTTGTATATATAAATACACACACATACATGTAATAAATATTTGCATGTATATACTTTATATTTATACAAAATTAATATTATACGAAAATATAACTATTTGATAAATTAACAACAATTTTTTCTTAAATATATGCATGCATGTGTGTGTATTTATATATAAAAAATAATTATACACAGTACACACAAATATTTTATGTAAACATAGACTTTTATTTTGTATGCGATTAATCGCGATTAATCGTTTGACAGCCCTACAAAATTTGCATTGAATTGAATGACATTGCATACGAGTTTTTTTTAATGAAATCTATTTCACGAATGAGGCCCAATGAATGTGACAAGGACACTTTCTGATTTCACTTTTATCTATGAATGTTTCCAATCCAGTGCAATTTAAATCCACATTGAACAAACTGACGTATTTGCCAGTTTATTGGCCCAGACCTCCCGATATGAATGCTGGCATGTGTTAATGTATCGTTTAATGACGGCTCATGGTTTATGGAAGGATGCCAGCGCCGTAAAGCTGTGCGTTGCAGTGTGTTCAAAGCCGCCTGCTAAAACACTCTTTTCATCAATGAAATGCAAAGATGCTAAAAGATGTCCTCTTCTCAGAGATGTGTGAAGGTTGAATGGAAGGATAGGATAGGAGGAATATAGACACACAAATAGCTTTGAAAATGAAATGTGGAAGAGAGAGAGAGAGAGAGTCCAGCGATGCTTTAGTACGTCTGGTTTTGAAAGCAGGACAGGTAGCAGAAGACAATGTGCTTTTTGCTCATGCCTGGGTACTTTTGTCTTCCCAGAAAGGCTCAGAAAGCACCTCGGTGGGTTTTGGAAATGAGAAATTCAGTGAGCCAAGAGAGAGAGCGCGCACTGTGGAAAGGTCGAACACGCCGCTGTGTCTTAAAGTCAACATGAAGTCAGATTTTGAACCCTGTTCACTTTTTAAAACATGTCCCTATAGACGGAAAAAACCCACTTTAAAAATCATGTTTTTTGTTGTTTTTCATTGAATATGAACATTACAGAAGTATTGAGTCGTATTCTCTTGAATCTTTTAAGGAAGTAAAAAAAGCAAAGAGAATACAGACCCATATATGTATTTATAAAACATTATGACACTTCATTGTTACATTGCTGCATTGATGTAACAAGGAATCTGAAAATATTATAATGCTTTATAAATTATTTATATTTATTATTTAATGCATTATAATGCATTACACATAAAATAGCCTCATTATGCTATTTTAAAGGTTTGCATGCATCCAACGTCAACAAAAATAGGGCTGGGCAACGATTAATCGCATCCAAAATAAAAGTTTGTGTTTACATAATATATGTGTGTAGTGTGTATAATTATTTAGCATATATAAATACACATACATGCATGCATGTATATATTTAAGAAATATTTGCATGAATATACTGTATATATATATTTATACATAATTTATATTAAATATTATTATTTTATATATTAATCACACATCTTTCTTAAACATATACATGCACGTGTGTGAATTTTTATAAATGAAATAATTATACACAGTGCATCCACATATATTACTGTATTGTAAACACGAACTTTTATTTTGTATGCGATTAATCGCGATTAATCGTTGCCCAGCCCTACTTTATTTGTCTCATAATATACTGTAGATTGCACATCACATCATTTCTCCGAGTCTGAAATGATTCATTTGAAGATTCAGTCTCTCTAAACCCCTCCTTTCCACGAGCTGCTGTGCTCTGATTGGTCGACCACTTACACCCATTAGCATCCGGATCCTCCCCAGCCCTTGAAATACAGTGATACGAACTATAGAATCGGTTTCCCGTATCAGTTCCAGCATGAGTCGTTATCCTTTTGCAAAGTGGATTTGAAACGCAACGATGAAATCGCGTACCAAACTCGTCCAGTCTCAGCGTTTGAGGGCGTGGCAAAGTAGACGTTGTTCACAGGCAGAAAGAGGTTGTTCAAAGTTGTTTTAACCCAACTTTGGGTCAAATATGGTCAAACCCAGCAATTGGGTTACATTTTTTAATTACATTTTTAACCCAACGTTTGGGTTAGACCCAAAGTTGTGTTAAAACAACCCAGCATTTTTAGAGTGTAGGCGGGCATTATGCAAATTTGTTACATAGGCATGTGACAGGAAGTGAGACTGGAATTACTGACAGCAGTTCAGAATCGATTCTTTCTTTTAGGAGATGATAACTTTGTGTCGTGCACTTTAATGTAACCTTCACACACAGCTGTATTACACACTACATGAAAGGAATTTTTTGAATACATTGTTACCGGTGCAATTAAAAGCTCATGCCAACTTCATTTCAAGGGAGACAAATGACGATTCGGTAACACTTTACTTGAAGGGGTGTGCATAAGATATGACGTGACTTATGTTATGAAGTTTTATGCATGTTTGTGACAACTGTCATTAAGTGTCATTCGCTCAATAATAACATTTTTAATGCAAATATGACGTTGTTTGAGATGTCTTTGTTATGACACCTTGACATAAACAAATACCTCATAACCTGTCAGTGTCTTTGTCATGACAACTTGACATTACTAAGACAACACAACCTGTCATATACATGACATAATGATCAAACTTAAGAAGCCACCTAGCTAGGTCAGGTGGTTGGTTTTGACATTGGCTGTCATGAAGCCATTATAACTTTTTAATGACAAATTTAATTAGTACCACTGTAGTTGAGCTCACGAAAAATATTCATGACACGGATATAATGGCCTCATGACAGCCAATGTCAAAGCCAACCACATGACAGATTAACTTGTTAAATGTCATAACAAAGACATCTCAAACAATGCCATATTTGCATTAAAAATGTCATTATTGAGCGAAAGACACTTAATGACAGTTGTCATAAACATGCATAATGTGAAGGTGTCGTGTCATGTCTTATGCACACCCCTTCAAGTAAAGTGTTACAGAAGATTCCTTAAAATTGGTCCCAAAGTCGCAATATTGATCACAAAAGAGGCATGTTTTCTCTTCTCTGTCAGAATCTGGACACGGTGATGTTGAAACGAGCATGTCATGTAAAACTTTTCCTAACAGTTTGCGTGTTTCTACTTGTGGTCTGAATGTATTTGGATTTCCTCTTTTGTGCTGCGATGATATCAATTCAAAAGGTCAAATCAATTTTTTTGGTCTTGGAGGATGCGAAGACTTATCCGTCAAAGGGTTTTTCTTTTTCATGTTTTGATGTGTTTGATGAACTGAAGGACACACGCACTCAGAGAACCAGTTTCTAGTTCTTTATTTTTAGTTTCTTTCCACATTGCACTTTGAAATTAAGTTCCACATTTAGATCTTTATACGAGTGAAAAAAGAAAAACGAATACGTTTACATGTAAACAAGTACAAGCCATGT